TGTGGTGGGAAGTTTGGTCCTATCACACGGTCAGGAATCGGGTCATACAATGTAGGATGGGTGTCTTTCTCTGTGGTGGGAAGTTTGGTCCTATCACACGGTCAGGAATCGGGTCATACAATGTAGGATGGGTGTCTTTCTCTGTGGTGGGAAGTTTGGTCCTATCACACGGTCAGGAATCGGGTCATACAATGTAGGATGGGTGTCTTTCTCTGTGGTGGGAAGTTTGGTCCTATCACACGGTCAGGAATCGGGTCATACAATGTAGGATGGGTGTCTTTCTCTGTGGTGGGAAGTTTGGTCCTATCACACGGTCAGGAATTGGGTCATACAATGTAGGATGGGTGTCTTTCTCTGTGGTGGGAAGTTTGGTCCTATCACACGGTCAGGAATCGGGTCATACAATGTAGGATTGCTGTCTTTCTCTGTGGTGGGAAGTTTGGTCCTATCACACGGTCAGGAATCGGGTCATACAATGTAGGATGGGTGTCTGTGTGGTGGGAAGTTTGGTCCTATCACACGGTCAGGAATCGGGTCATTAATAATGGTCGGGTGATTTCAGACAATAGATAGGTGGTCTGTGTCCTGGAGGTTGGGGCATTTATTAGCAGCATTGTTATCAGTTTTTCCTGGAGTAACAAAGCCTTTATTCTCTTTTTTTTCTCTCCCTGTCGCAGGCACATGTCACAGGCGGAGCTTAAAGGTTCCACATTTTGGTTGCGAGCAAGTTTTGGCGCCACAGTGTTTGCGGTCCTGGGATTCGCCATGTACAAAGCTTTACTAAAACAGCGATAATCCGACACGGACTGCCTTCCTCCTAGGTTGCTTTGTCCTGCCGCCAAATGAGCCCCGCCTTCTTTCCGTGTACATTATGCACTGCGTAACCCCCGCTAGCCCACTTATTTATTATTATCCATTATTAGGATCACTACCTGTGGTTTTAAAGTTCAGCGTATCTACAGTATTCAATACCACACTGATGTGGTTGGGATGGGGATGCCTCCGATGGTGGTGCGAGTATTCCAGCCGAGGTCCAGAAGAGGGCACATTATACGGCCAGCTGGAGAAGTCCCATTCCAGAACTCTGTGTTTTAAGTTGTAAAGGAGCATGGACCGGATCAAGTGTGACATTTCATGTGTAGACTGAAATCCGTTGACTTCGTTTGGCGTCTTGTCATGGGACGCTGGCAAGTGCCAAAGGTGGATAAATCCAATGAGTGGCCTACCCAGAACTAACGACCATGAGAAGATTTCTCTCCCAGGTTCATCACAAGTCATTTTGCTCTCGAGATCCCTTCATAGCTGCGTGATCACACACGGTATTTGTGTAGACGAATGATTTACCTGTATATAATGTATATAGCTTTATCGTCCCAGCTGCCTTCCTACTTGCCATGAGTCCCGGACGAGCCCCCAACCCTTCTGTTGTGTGAATGAACCACTTTATATATATATCTCAGAGCCGAGAAGTTCCCCCACATTATGTTTGTCCAACGACGGCCGTGGAGGAAAGTTACGTTCATCCGAATGTCAAGAGAGAATCTCATCGCTATTTTTTTAGGAGTGCATGTAGCCCGCTGGCCCTTTCCCCGAGGCAGACATGAAGAAATGGTGTATTTTCTGAAAGGCCACAACGACCTCCATTGCTGCCACGTATTATCGGACTCGATGCGTCTCTTACATTGCGGCTTTCTTATTTATTTTAATTTTTTCTCATATTTTGTTCTACAAAACCCCCCAAGACATCCGCCATTTCTGCCACCCGACACATTTTCAGTTTCAGAATAAGAGCCCCTCCACCTTCATTTCTCACGGTCCCCTTCACGCTTATGTTCGGGGCGCACATGTTGTTGTTGTTTTTATTCTGAGACGTCACAGCAATCAGCCGGAACTAGAGCGGAAACCACGTCTCGCTCCCTCGTGTCACCACAAGAATTACACAATACCGATCCTATATTTTATATCACCAATCTTTTTGTGGACTTCATTAAAAAAAAAAAAAGGAGACCCCGTGTAACTGTACCACGCTATGGACCGGATCAAGTGTGACATTTCATGTGTAGACTGAAATCCGTTGACTTCGTTTGGCGTCTTGTCATGGGACGCTGGCAAGTGCCAAAGGTGGATAAATCCAATGAGTGGCCTACCCAGAACTAACGACCATGAGAAGATTTCTCTCCCAGGTTCATCACAAGTCATTTTGCTCTCGAGATCCCTTCATAGCTGCGTGATCACACACGGTATTTGTGTAGACGAATGATTTACCTGTATATAATGTATATAGCTTTATCGTCCCAGCTGCCTTCCTACTTGCCATGAGTCCCGGACGAGCCCCCAACCCTTCTGTTGTGTGAATGAACCACTTTATATATATATCTCAGAGCCGAGAAGTTCCCCCACATTATGTTTGTCCAACGACGGCCGTGGAGGAAAGTTACGTTCATCCGAATGTCAAGAGAGAATCTCATCGCTATTTTTTTAGGAGTGCATGTAGCCCGCTGGCCCTTTCCCCGAGGCAGACATGAAGAAATGGTGTATTTTCTGAAAGGCCACAACGACCTCCATTGCTGCCACGTATTATCGGACTCGATGCGTCTCTTACATTGCGGCTTTCTTATTTATTTTAATTTTTTCTCATATTTTGTTCTACAAAACCCCCCAAGACATCCGCCATTTCTGCCACCCGACACATTTTCAGTTTCAGAATAAGAGCCCCTCCACCTTCATTTCTCACGGTCCCCTTCACGCTTATGTTCGGGGCGCACATGTTGTTGTTGTTTTTATTCTGAGACGTCACAGCAATCAGCCGGAACTAGAGCGGAAACCACGTCTCGCTCCCTCGTGTCACCACAAGAATTACACAATACCGATCCTATATTTTATATCACCAATCTTTTTGTGGACTTCATTAAAAAAAAAAAAAGGAGACCCCGTGTAGCTGTGTCCTGCCTCGTGTGTTATTAGTGGCAGGGAGTGTCTGTGGTGGGACGCGGGTCCTCTGAGTGCTGCACTGATGAGACCGCCCAGGTTGGAAGAGTCTGAAATGGATGTTTTTTTTGGTTCTGATCCTCCGCTGGCTGTTCTGTGAATGTGGTACCAGGGAAGGGAACGGGTTAACATTTCACTCACGTATAAGAAGTATGTAGGGGACCCCGTCATTGATGAATGATTTCTGTTTCTACAATCGATGAGTGAATGTTCCGCAAGGTATTAGTGTAACGATCACTCTTGTAGGGGCCTGTATGTGGAAAGCCCAGAGCAGAAGAGCTGCGTGTAGTATGTGATGCCGAATACATGTGATGTTCTAGTTCACTTAGACACAACAC